ATTCCTAGTATGGGTCACCATACTTGGCCACATGTCACTTCACTTCGTATTCTATAAAGAAACCCTTCAGTTTAAACTTCCTCTCAGGATCGAGGGTAAATGAGAAGCAGCAATAGTTAGCTGGGCTGCAAATTCATCATCTTAATGTAATGTCACCTCTAGCGTCGACTGAAGTGTCGGAGTTGTTTTAAAGTCATTGCACTAGGGTGTTGTTGGCACTGCAGGGTGTTGCTATACATTTGCTAAGATTTTCTACATTTTTTTTAGCGCATTGCTGTGTGATGGTTGTTGAGTAGTCAACTGTCTAGTTGCTTATTGTTCAGCTGATCCCATCTCGAGTCTCTGTGAGATTCTAGATATGGCTCAGGTTGCTCCTTCAAAGTCTATAAAATTTTGATCACCATTTAATCGCATGCAAGATGTAAAAAAAGAAAAAAAAACATTGGCAAAGTTAGAAAAGTAACGGCATACCTCTCCTGAACAAGCCGTAGGATTGAGGTTTTGTGTAGAGTCGTGAGTGTATCAAATAAAAGCTATTTTTAATAAATAGCTCCTGATTATGGCTGTCGTCTCTGTTTTGCAATCAAAAGCCCAGAATCTATAATCAGCACTGTAGTGTTGTCACATTAGCCAAGTACAGTGTGATTATGAAAGAGTCTTTTTCCGTTGTCTAATGGGTGGCATTGGCAGCACTCGCAGAGAGATGCTGCTGAATGGAGAAGTCATTTCGCCAAGCATTGCATACGTAGTGGCATGGTTGCCATGGAAACAGAAGAGAAATAGTCCCAATTGTCCAGGTTCTGCTTAATGTGTCTGAACCTCGGTGACTCAGTTGTCCGTGTGTGGGCGGTAGTTACGCCGTTTAAAAGAGCAACAGCTCCTTAACTAGAACACCTCCGCTGGCTGGGATCACAACCTCGACCATCGGGGTTACATACGTATGAAGACCAACAGAAATAAAAATAAACGACCACAAAATGGCGCAAGTTTGCTATGCCACAAATCAAAAAATGTTTTAATGCTGCTAGTGGTTGAAAAATATCCAGATGGGTGGATTTTTTTTTTCCACAATGTAGCGAAAATATGTTTAAAATGTCAACATTTTAAAGCGAGACGAATCAAATAATATCACACATCATTGGTTCCCATCAAAAATGCCACTTAATGAATGATAGGAACTAATTGTTGGCGATTTAAATGGGATTTGAGGACAAGGTAATATTGAGCCCACTTAAAGCCCATTGCATGAGCGTTTTGCTCCAGGTGGGGTTAACACAGGTGTCTGGGCTAAAGCTGCCACTGGCCTGAAGCCACCCGGACCTGAAAGAGCAGCTTTGTGTGAGTAACACAAGCCCCCTGTGTCCCCTCACACCACGCCCAGCTTGCCCAGGTTATGCTCACGGCTCCACGTCTGCTGTCATTTCCGCAGCTGTGGCTCTGGCCCGCGTCGGCTTCAGCATATGGTGCGTCAGCGGAGACACACGTAAATATTAGCTGCTGTCTTCTCAAACTTGTGGCTTAGCCAGAATGCACTGCTGGACAACACTGGCATTTAAATAAAAAGAAAGTAAAACAGAGGCGGTCTTCATGACTTAGGGAAAATATAGCCTGCTCTGAGGTTATTGATGTAGCATTAGTTCACTTGGAGTTTTTTGGCTGGTATAATGTTGAAATAAGATTATTAGTAGTTCTATTGTGAGAGAATATATATATATATATATATATATATGTATATGTGTGTGTGTATTACATATACATAATAATCTTATTCCAACATTATGCCAGCCAAAAAAACTCCAAGTGAACCAATGCTACATCAATAACCTCTCTCTCTCTCTCTCCCTATATATATATATATATATATGACCCTGGAACACAAACCCAGTCTTAAGTCGCTGGGGTATATTTGTAGCA